AGCGAAGTGTTTGTTTTAACAATAGTATCTCTTACTCACTATGCCAAGTAATAATCCTGAAAATTAACACTTGTTGAGAACGAAAAAACCCCTCAACAAAAGACAAGTCAAACCTCTTCCATTTACTTCTTCCCTCTGCTCAGGAGCTTTTTTTTTTTTTTCCCCCCAAAAACTAGTTGTCATTTGGTATTTGAGAGAAAGAGAGCAATATTACTAAGTGTAAAGCATATGAAACGTTCTTCAGGGAGTGGGAAGGGATTACTTGTTTCTTTCAACTTTCTATTCCCATAGAAAGTACTTCATCCTCATTCATCACTACTCCCCCTCTCCCTGCCCCAAAATGCCATAATTACAAGTGGTAATTGCTTTTGCTAGTTTTTGATGATAATAGCAATTAAGCCCACATTAGTTTAGTCCATCCCTTCACTTCAGATTACTCCCAAAATACTGCTGTGAACAATCCCAAACCCCAAACCAGTCCCAATATAAAGGGGATACATGCGACCTCAGCAATCAAAAGGAAGACAGTGAAGTGCAGCTGAAAGCATGTGAGCTATGATACCCAAGTTATAAACAGAAAGACATGATTATCGAGAGGGATCAGGACACATCTAAATCTCTCAACACAACAGAAGACACTACTCATTTGTGGCCACAGGTGGTACATCTTTATGGGCAACTTGCTACCTTGCAGCAAATGAGCAACCTTTTGTAGATCCACACACATCTATTGTATGATAAGCCATACCTTAAGGCCAAAAAAAAAAATGGAGAGAGTACTCAGCAAGATCAAAAGTCACTTCTGTTCCTTCCTGCCCACAAAACACACACAAGACTTGACGAGTACCATGACTTTAAAACCACAAGAAAAACAATGGCAACTATCTCAGACTTCTACATGGCAGCGGGAAGACCTGATTCTTGTGGTTCCAAACCCCATGCTTGGCTGCAGACCTTTAAATCAGCATTAATGGCAGTCTCCGTGCTAACGTACCGCTCCAGGAGGAGGAAGTCTAATACAAACTTAGAATTAGAAACGTAATAAAATCTTCACTCTGTTATGGAGGACCGTTAGCACAACATACAAGAGTGACTTCCCAAGGGATCCGAGGAGAAAGAGTAGTTATGAGAAGCAGTCCAAATCATTTATTGCTTTCCAAGTGTCAAAATTCCTGTAGTGTTAAGAATGAGAGATACAGAACTAAATCCACAGGGCAAACTGTCCAAAGCCTGGCTATTTTCAACACAAATGTATGCAGCCTGACTACCATCAAAGGCCTCAAGAACATTTAAAAGGCAATTGCTTCTGTCTGCAATACTGTATCACGCCAACAAACCAAGATACTTTGGGTACATTTTTCTTTTATCATGTCCTTTCATCTTTTGTTCTTTTGGTAACAAGGCCAAATAGGTGTAGGATTTCAAAAGAGACATACTGCTTTCTTGTTCACTTCTAATTTTACATTTCAACACATCAGCTTGGAAATAGCCATTCTACACACGTACACCTATAAAGCAAATCCTGTTCCTTTCACAAAGCTCTGCTGTAGCCTTTCTGACCACCTTCATCTGGAATTTCATAGGCACACATTTTTTTAAATTAACCAAAAGCTGTATTACTGTAATACTGGAATCATCTGTCACACTCACATCTCATATTATTCCTGTTGAAATTCCTGTGGGAAAACAGGTACAAGCAAAACTGTGAAGACCGGTTCCTACACAAGGCCAGGAGTTTAACAAGACATGGAGTAGATCTGAAACAAGCACTCAAGATGAGACTTCCCTGCATCTTAAACATACTACCACTATTATGCAGACTTTCAGATGCACCACATCTTGTACCTTCATTTCTTCCTCAGGTACAGAAAATATTTTCTCTTTGCTTTCAGGACTGTAGCTGAATGCTTCAGACTCTAAGGTCTCTTGCCTGTGGTGAAAACTAGGACTCAACACATCTTTTTAATTCAAAAGCACGACGTTGAACCGCTGTAACAAATCATAAGAGAAGTCTGTCCCGATGTTTAGAAATCCCGCATAAAAGAAGACCTAAGCAAATGCCATTCCGTTGCTGAGCATCACAGGATAACACCCTGACTCTTAAAATGGTTGCTTGAGAAAAGAGTATCTGGATACATCTCATGTTCTTATGACATACTCCCCTGCTTCAGCTCCAGTGATTTCTCTGCAAATGCACAATAAACATCTCAGTATCTATGCTAACACTTCATATTTATGTTCTATCTCAGGTAATTAAAAATATATCACACACACAAATTACACACAAAAGCCTATTAAGTGGCACGTATGATTCCTGAACACCAGGAAAACTAGCTAATTGTACTTGTGAATGGTCAGTGACCAGGGCTTCTACGAGACACAAGCAGCATACAGCTCTGTATCTTCCAGCAGCGTTCTGCCTACACAATGATCTCTGCTTTCCATTTCCTGTCCTGATGCAGTTGCCTACAATGCAATGCATGAGGATGGGAAGGTCAAATCCAGCTATCCAATCAATCTGAACAGTTAAAAAAATATTTGACATTAATGCATTGCTTGCTGAGGGCTATGTATATACAAAGGAGGGGAAAAGGATGGGGGGGAGAGGGGAAGGAAGCAAATGATATGGAAACATTCTGGAAATGGAGACATCCTCTTCAGCCAAGATTTAGTCTCTCTGCTCTGACTCCTGAAAGACACTGCACAGCCTTATCCAACTATAAAGCCTCTCATGGCTCCCTATGGAATGCTCTACGTGCTCCAAAATGACTGTTCTCTTCCCACCTTCTATTTTCCTCTAGTTTTCTGTGGATTGGAGTCTGCTGTGGATTAGGAAAGACTCCTGGTACAAGAGTGTACAAGGGTCAAGCTTCCAGTATGCCTCTGCCCCTAAAACCCTTACGGATGTAGTCATTATGTGGTCAGTGCTGAATTCAGGTTATCAAAATCAACGGATGCTGAGCCCAGAGAGCAGCTCATTAAATGTCCTAGCTCTACCTCTCACTCATTTCGTAACAGGAGAGTTGTAAAAACAAGAATTTTGGCGTCCATTCAATACCTTCTCTCATGTTTTTACTTGCAACAATGTCAGGCTTGCATGTGCACTGAGGTGTGCAGACACAGGTGTGACACTCCGAGTCCTTACTGAAAACTATATCCATTAAAAGCACAACCTTCACCCAAGCAAAGCATCAGGAAAGCATCCATCCTGGAGCCACAACCTGAAGGCAGCTACTGGAGCCTTTCATCTTCTGCATGAATCAGCAGATTATAGAAGAAAAATCTCAGAAATAAGAGGTCAGTTCAGAAACAGGTAAATTTATTAGGGGAAATATGCAACTGTGCACATCCTCTGCTGTTTGTTTAGCCATAACTTTGCGGTCTAGCACACCTCCTGCAACACTGCAGATAACGTAGTTACAAGTACCAAAGGGTACAAACTCACTGCATCATTTTGTTGTTAAATTCTGTTTGTTTGTTAAAATTCTGTATTAGGATTCCAACTAGAACCAAAAAAAAAAATTCTAAGCAAATTTACAAATAATAAAGTATCTGGTATCAACCAGTTGAGTCTCAGTTCAATTCAGCGCATTAGCAAGAATCTCTCAGAAACAGCTACTATAGCTCAGCTTGCTTTCCATGAGAGCAACTAAAGCGAAAGAGGGAAGGGCAGACAGCTGCTTAACACATCAGTGAAGTTGCATCAGGTTCAAGCAAATAAGCTCTCCTTCCTCCCTGTCAAACGCTCTGGCACCGTTGCAAAAGGTTTTGCCTTGGTCTCACGTGACAGAATTACTCACCTTCCCCATCAGGGCTCATATTTTCATAGGAATCCCAGCGTATTAGTGGGTCTGAGGTATTGTAATCAACTACCACTCCATGGTCATTCTGAAGGTGTTCACATCCTGAAAAATAAACACCTGTTTGAGACCAAAAATTACCATAGCCACGTTTATAATGATACACATGCACGTATGCATGTGGCCTTCTGGCAGGAGTGTGCTCCTCAAACTGCAATACCATATTCTGAAATGTAAGTAGCAGCAATAGGGGAAGAAAGGTTACAGATCTATATAAGCTAAAAAAAGCTGAATTTATATTTCACTACACAAGGTATAAGCAGAGAATTTTACCTGGAGCTTCTTGATGATGATGATGTATCTCTGCTAACTTGGATCAGCCCTAAACTCCACTGACAGAGACGACCCACCCAGCCCTACAGGCAGGCATAATAAAACACGGGGCTTTTCAGAGGGAAACCACGAGCTCTATAAAGGGGTGGTACTAAAGGAACGATAAAACCAGACTTTGTTACACATTACCACTCTGATACCAGAGCAACTCAGCACTGAGGATCAATAGGGACATCTGAAAACTGTCACTCCGTGTCCCTCACAGTTCCCCCATGGTGCCACCTAGGCTGTTGCAACCATTCTCCAGGCTCCTGGCAGAACCTGAGATCTGGCATTTTGCTGTCAATGTGCTTGGCTGCACCTAAATACACTCTGCCAAACATACCTGGAATTTTCAGCAGTAGCCCATGTTTCTGTGCCCTTCACAAGGCATCAGATAATACTGAGCATTTAAACGTATTCCATGAGGAATTTAGGTGTGGTCCAGTGATTCAAAAGCAAAGCATAAGCATCAAGAACTCATGACCTTGGACTTGGCTTTGACATGGATTGAAATCAAATTGGTTTTTTGCCATTACTTCTCTATCCAGACTAAGGAACAAATAAATCCTCCGCTATCAACTCTCTGGCTGTGTCTGGAGAAGCAAGTCCTACTGTAAATTGTTCTAAAGCAGCAGAGTGTTAGGCACATGCTGTGACTTTCAAAGCAAGGATAGTTCAAATTAGGAGGACAGGAATGCTATGGTCCTGTACCTTTGGGTGCCAGCAGAAAAAAGCCACCAGCAGAGAGCTTCTGCGATGATGTTTGTCACAGGGCAGACTTACGAAGTTTGTTACCTAAATATTTAGATGCCTCATCTTCTCGGCAAGTGCATTCTTTCTTAAAAACTGCACTGCAGTCAGTTATTTTCTAGAATCCTGGGTCCAGTTTTGAGCTACACAATACAAGAAAGACAGAAATGAAGTGAAGCAAGCTGAGGGGAGGGCCACCAGGGTGGTCAGGACTGAAGGACCTGCCCTGGGAGGAAAGGCTGAGGGATCAGGGTTTCTTCAGTCTGCAGGTGAGATGGTCTTGCGGGGAACCTGACAGCTCCCCAAAAGCCCACAGGGGACACAGAGCCAGGAAGGAGCATGGTGAGAGGACAACAAGGAACAGGCATAAACTGAATTTAGGTAAGTTTAGAGTCCATCAAAGGAAAAAAGAAATTCACTGTGAGGACAGTTGGACATTGGAACAGTCCACCCGTTGAGGCTGAGAAGTCTCCATTCTTGGAGGTTTTCAAGATTTGACCGGGCAAAGCTGTGGGCAGCCTGGTCTGATCTCATACACGGCTCTGCTTTCAAAAGAGGATGAATGCTCAAGTTACTCTATGATTCCGTAATATTTTCAGATGTGTAAGAGTCATTTTACCAAAACTGTAAATAAATATTTCAAGGTGAACTCTTCTTCCTAGCCAGTCATCTCTTGGACAGCAACTGAATACAAATTTCCAATTACTTAGAACCTTACTTTCCAACAACTTGGAGCCTGCTAAAATACACACCTCTGATTTGCAATCTAAGGAAGGAGACTTGAAAAAATTTTGATTCTTTTTCAGACACATCAGTTGGCGTCTCTTCAAGCATTTACTATCCAGAAATGTTTAGAATAAACTGTACAAATTTACTTATAGAACTGGGGGTTTTTTATATGGCTTCCCAACAGGCTAAGTGAGATCTTCGTGTTCAGCTGGACAGAATCCAACTTCTTACTGGCTTCTACTACAAGTTTCTAACTGATCAAACTGGTGGGGGGGAAGGAAAGGAAAACATGCAATTCACAAGACACTGAAGGTGAATGTGTACGAGACAGTTAAGAATATTTGGTTTTCATTCAGTCTCAGGCAGAATCCATACTTTTTGGAACACCATAAAATAAGTAAGAACAGATCCATTAACAGAATTAAACTGCAATATAAAGTATTGTTTTAAATTCCTATTGCGGGTCATAATTATCTATGATCTTAGACATATTACAACAGAATTCTGGAGGTATACAGGATATACCCTACAAGCCAACTCCAGAGCAGACACACTTCCAACAAAATTATAGCTGTATCTCTCTATGCTAAACTGAACACAGTCCAAACTTCACCACTGCAAACATCATCAGTTATGACAACACTCAGAAAAGATTATGGGATAGGCCACTGCTGTCACTTATGTCAGGCCAAGCTACCTATACTATCCATGTTTTACACAGATATATAAATGTTTTCTACTAGTCGTCAGCAACTGTTCTGCTATAGTTTTAAACCAAAATGTGATCACTCCTATGCTGATATAAATGCAGATTCTTCATTAAATTCTTCAAATTTAAACCAGTAACTATATTATATATTGTAACAGTAAAGTTGCATTTCAGATCTTCTACAAGATAAGTGGAATAAAAGAGGGAAAAAGGATTTAAAAATATATATGTATTTCAATGTGGTTTATTTTTCAAACTAAGCATATTTTTTCATCTGTTAACCCACCTTGAATTTTCTCTGGAGTTCCTGAAAACACTAATTCCACTTTGCCGTAATCAGGGAAACGGTCATCTGAAAACAAAGGATAGTATTTCAGCAAGCTGTCTTCAGGAAAAGCAGCTCCAGGGCACTCGGAAATAAGGATTCTCCATGGCTATTAATACACGTAACCTCATCACACTGCCCTTCTCACTGGCAGTTTAGTGATTTGCTTCTGGAAGAGCCACATTCTTTGTTGCACACATTCTCCAGAAAAGACCACGTCTAAGTGTCAGCTGGAGTTTTGTTCACTCCCAAGAACACTCAAGAGCAGAAGTGATGTACAGTTCCCAAAAAAACAGACAAGGTTATGACTTTCGCTTTTAAAGGAAAACACACCAGGAGCAAACAAAAATTGTTCCCTATATTGGCTAAACTGCAAGACTTGACCACAAAACTTTTATGTAGCCATATGTTGCAGGAAAATATGTTTGACTGTAGTTTGCTAGTAACATTGGGTGAGGGAGTTACAATCCTGCATATAAACATAAAAATAAAACCGAAGTAATAATGTGGAAAATACAAAGACTGGCAAAACAGATTTTCAAATGTGTCTGAAAACTTAGTTTCCATTTCTGGATATTCTGAAGCACATTAAGAGATCTTCATACGGAAGCAGACTAGGTCACAAACCCAGTATCAGACTCTGACTGTTCTCATCAGCCAAAAAAGGGATCAGCTTAGCTCATCTTAATTCCTGTAATGGTGACTAACAGAGTCACCATTTTAAACAAACGTCTGTTCTTTTTACAAATGTGACAGCAGGCAATGAGGACTATGTATGAGTATCTGAATTATTTTAACAAGTTAACTTATTTGAGAAGCTTTTCTTCTCATTAGGGGTTTACCTATGTTACATGCTATGAGTTAACTACAACCAAGAGCATCGTGGGCAGCAAGTCGAGGGAAGGGACTGTCCCCCGCCAGCTCCGCTCTCTTGAGACCCCACCTGAAGTGCTGCCTCCAGCTCCGAGGCCACCAACAGCAGAAGGACATGGAGCTACTGGAGCCAGTGCAGAGGAGGCCACGAGGATGATGCGAGGGGCTGGAGCAGCTCTGCTGTGAGGACAGGCTGAGAGAGTTGGGGCTGTTCAGCCTGGAGAAGAGAAGGCTCCGGGGAGACCTTCTAGCAGCCTCCCAGTACCTGAAGGGGCACCAGGAAGAGTGGGGAGGGACTTCGGCCAAGGGCAGGGAGTGACAGAACAAGGGGTGATGACTTGAAAGTGGCAGAGGGGAGATGGAGCTGAGATGTGAGGAAGAAATTGTTTGGTGTGAGGGTGGTGAGACACTGGCCCAGGTTGGCCAGAGAAGCTGTGGCTGGTCCTCCCTGGAAGTGTTCTCGGCCAGGTTGGATGAGGCTTTGAGCAACCTGGTCTAGTGGAAGGTGTCCCTGCTGATGGCAGAGGGGTTGGGACTGGATGAGCTTTAAAGTCCCTTCCAACCCAAACCAGTGATTCTACGAACTAACACAAAGCAGCTTCCCTTACCCTAAAAAGGGGGATGGAAAAAAACAGGAGAATCCTTTTGAAAACAGGTCCTGAAGACGATCATCACACACACAGGCACACTCATGCACCCCTGCACACATATGCATCCAACCAAGCACAGAAGGCAAGTACCTTTGTTGGCATTGTCCAAATCCTCCTTGCCAAACACCAGCCCATGTCCTTGAATGGCTCCAGTGTGGAACTGAAGGCGAAAAACCACATCACGAGTAGCTGACCGGTACTTTTTGTGATAACACTTCAGCTAGAAAGAGAGAGAAAAACACATCAGGAAATAATTCCTTACAAATCGGAACAATCGTGTGTGTACGTGGCAGCTGGTAAGTAAAGCAGCCACAGCGCCATTGACTGCAGACACCTGTGATGTTGTAACGAGCAGGGTATGTATTATCCATTCCTTCAAAATTATACAGGCCCAAGGCAAGATACTTCTGCATGTGTAAAAATAATAATTACTATTTTCATCGCTATCAGTCACCAATTAGTCGATTATGATTCAGAATCACAACGGCTGTCAGTACGATGTTGGAATGCTGACTTGTATCCATACTTTCTCGGTACCAAATTAACGTAAAACTGAATTTAGGCACACCCACTTAAAAATAACTGAAGAATATGTGGAGATTTTAGAAGCAAGCCTGCCAGCTGATTACATCTATTTTAGAACTGTTTAAAACCCTACTCTAGTGTTGATAGGATCTTGCTTTATGTTACTGTGGGAAGTTGGCACCAGTTTTGACACCTTGGCTAGAACACCACAGACCTCTGTAAAAACAACATCTAGTATAAATTTCAGCAGCTGAAGGTGAACACAATACACCTACTCTCTAACACCACCTTGCCTCAGACTAGACCTATGGATATTTTATTTTTGTAGAGAAAACAGTCATATAGGTCTTACTGCACTTGGTGATGCTGTAAAACGGGAATGCAGAGAGCAATTGGTTTGGCTCCTAAAAACCAAAAATAGTTTGGGTTTTATAAGAATTTTGATTACAAAACTCAAGGATGATGATTAAATTAACTTAACATATTTTGTAGTTTGTCTGACACCATTTGCTCAATTTATTTTTTACAAGAACAGAAAACAGGTCAGAGACTGTAAACTAAATGGCACAGTGCTAGATTTTCATTCCATACAATTAACTTACCATAATATCTCCCTTCAAAAGCTGGGCAGGGTCTATAGCAATGCAGATTCGGCTTTGATTTTCTGGCCCTACGCTACTTAACGGGAGAGAAAGAAAAAACAAAATTTATAGTTTAAATAAACAAACAAACAAACAAAAAAAAGAAGTGTAATTCTGCAATTATGGGAATTAAAACCTGGATTCCAACATAAAGGAAAATGCTTATGACTTACTATATTCCAGATGTATAAACTGGTTGCATAGCCTGGTATAACTTCAGAAAAGGCCGGCAAGCTGAAAAGAAGTCAACAGAAAAGACTGGTTTGTAACTGTTTTATCTGAGTATTACAGCTAGGAAGCTTCATATGCACATCCAGACTGAGCAGAGTGGCACACAAGTGGCACAACATTTACTGTCAAAATATCCTTCAAAGCAAAATTGTCTTTGACAGATTAATTTTCCTCCAAAAAAGTATTTGATTATATTTTAAGAAAAAGTCACTTTTTCCCAGATCTTTATAGATGACTTCCAAAGTGGGGAGGAGGAGATTTTAAAGGATTCCAGTAAGGAAAGAAATAGGGAACACTTTGTTCCTTACTAAACATCTGTCTGCTTGTCTTTCCACTTCTTCTGCAGAAAACAAAATTATTAAGTGAAGAGAATGGCCAAAACAAAACACAAAAACAAACCCCAAAACAAATTAAAAATCATTTTCAAAGTTAAACAAAGTGTTTGATCTACAGTTTTGTTTCAAAACTAATGAGTCCCTTAAATTTGTCACTACAACAAACAATATCTTGTCTTTGTTGAAACAGTTAGTTCAGAAATAAAACCAGACTAAACAGCAATGACCATGGAAGTGTTGCAAATTCACACTGCTGATGTTTCAAAAGACAGGTGCTATTTAACTCCTGGATGATAAGAATACAGAGTTATACCCCTTACTACGCTCTAGCACAGTATCTTCATTTAGTGTTTTAATTTTAAAGCCACTTACAGCAGGCAACCTTAGAAGCACACCACATCCATATGGCTTTTCTACAGAAAATCCAATCTCCAAACAGAAAAGAGATTAGATTTGTGATTACATTTATTTCCTAAACAAGGAGGAAACGCCAGTGAAAGGTGACCAGGTTCTCAGCTCTTTAGGACTGGGATCACAACTGTTCAGAAACCAGGCAGACATGAAGAGCATCAACTCTTCATTTAATAAAGGATAAGAATTTTATTCCACCTGCTGTAAATTTTACTCATGATATTTCTCTTCTCCTGGTTCTTTTATTGATAATATTTAGACTGATACCAAGAAGCATCACCTCTACTTTGAGATTCATGCAGGCTTTTTGGAAAGCTCCAAAATGAAACAAGACTTTGAGCCTAGACTTGGATAGGAAAAGTTAAGCAATTTACCTCCTCCAGCATCAAAGCTTGGGATGCCATGAAGGATAACATAGTGCAGGAAAAGAGGGGTTGCATTCATTTTCACAGATCCAGAGAGAAGGCCACTTAAGAATTGTACATATCTAAAAGCACAAAATTTATCTGAATTAAATAAAAACAGTAATACAACCATATCAGGGAAATACATTTTTTTATACATTAATATTTCTAGGCCATGGGTAGTGAGTAGCATTGTGACATCACCCATAACTCCAGAAAGAAAAATCTTCACATGAAAAGACAATTATTAAATCCACGGCTGCTGCATTACTCTTGTTGATGTCTCCATTTCAGTTGTTTACATGACTACTCTAAGAAAGGAGCTAGCAGAGACAGTAAAGCCCAGCATTTTGGCACACATTTCTAGTTGCACCTGAAGGTCTCAACGGGCTTTCATGGCAGCATGACATGGGTCTCCCTCTGGTTCCAGTGAAGAGCATTTCATTAAAACAAAAGCAAGAAGTGCCCATATCAGAAATCTCAGTGTTAAGGTCAATGCAGGCAAATAACATCTCCATAATGAGAAGTGATCTCATTCAGCACTGAACAGAGGAAGACTACCCATAGCAACGTGAAAATCGTTTTAGTTCTGGTATTTAATACTTAGTTTGGTCACAAGCTCACGAGCAAGTACATGCAAGTGAACATCACTGCAGCATGGGTTCAACAAATTCCTCCCATCTCCAACAACACAGGAAAATCAGTAGTTTCTAGTTTTTCTGCTGGCTTTGAGTCCCTTTTTCTTCCATACCCATGACACAACTTTCATTTAACTTCACTCTCAGGAATGCACAGAAAAAAGAAATTCACCTCTTTTTCCCCCTTTCACACACAGATCTTAGTAACTAATCTCCTGGTAACACCACAACTAAAGATATCTACCCAACAACTACAGCTTTACTACCCCAGAATGGGGCTTCTGGTGGTTTAAAATAGGTTTCATTCTATAGATGGCTAGCAAAGCTCATTTTATTTTCAAATGTTAAGACAAGACAACACATACATCCAGGCATAAAACTGGGGGGGGGGGGGGGGGGGGGGGGGGACAGTTGGGTCAAAAGCTTAGTATTAAAGTTCACGGTATCTTATCTCTAATTCCCACGGGTTTTGTGTGAAAAAAAAAAAAAAAAAAAAAAAAGGTGTGCAGGTCACCAAATGGGTTCAAGAAGTAACTGAAAAGTTTTTCTCATTTAGAGATTAACAGAATCAAATGCCTTATGCTTGTTGTTACTCCTTATTTTTCTAGTTTAATTACTAGAAATTATCCTTTAAAACAACTTCTAAAAAACCTACTGTATACGTGCTGACTAAAAATAAACAGTAATTACTAAGTTGAATCCCTTAGGTATTTTATGTTTCTAAAAGAAGATTCACCTATATCACAATTATTTGTCTGATGGATATCAATCTCTTTTGGTACTGAATCCTTCACTACCTCTCGTCAAAGTGAGGTAAGTAGTGAAACCCAGAGCTATCCATTTTCCAAACTGCTTGCTTTGAGTCCTAACTCAACCTTATTCGTGCAGACAGACTGAAAAAGGAAAGCATCCGGACAGACAGAATGAACAACGCGTGCTTTGACAAACATGTACCAGTGTGGACATGGGGCAGATGCATAATCTGCAGCTCCTCCAAACAAATGGAAATAAGATCTTTATTGCACACTAATCAACCCACATTCCATACACATCTATGCCACAGGAAAATGAGTTTATTATTATCTTGGAGTAATCAAGAAATTGATTGTGACATCTCTTTTTGTTAACAAACAATGCAGTAAGAACACATGTAGATAACAGTGTGGTACAAAGGGTCTTATCTGTCTGGGCTACGTGCAGGAACTGAAGCAGAGAGCTCATCAGTCAAGAAAGATTAATACAAGATAAACTGCTTAGAGCTGAGGAATCACTGCAGGAGCTTGTGGAAATAGCCTTCACATAGCAGGGGAGGGAGTAAGGGATGGGTGCAGAAGATAACGAAGACATTTCTTATTGGTATGAATTAGAAACAAATTAAATACCTTCTTTGGGATGGCTGCATTAAAGCTGAAACTTTATCATCAAAGAATTTCTTCATAGCAAATCTGTCTAGAGCCTGATCAGCACTGTCAAAACAGAGACACAGATACCATGTTATTCCGGTTCAGGGTTATCTTGGAAATTCAGCAGGTTGCTGCTTGAAATATGCCAAAATATTTGGAAGGAAAAAGAAGGAAAGGAAGGAAAAAGAAAAGAAAGAAGCACCTAACTAGCAACTCTGGCACTTGCAGGTCAGACAAGAATGTTTTTTTCCACTGGCACCTCCTCATTCCACACCTTAAGGCAGTTTATTACTGGAAGCAAAGCACCTACTCCCTTATTCAATTAACTGGGTTGCACATTTCCAACGTGAATATGTTAAAGACAGAATGCAATGAACTTCAGCAAAGCCAAGCAGCTCAGGTTGCAAAAGAAGGATACTTGCCATCATTTCCCAAGAGTGCCACTGGGAATAGTTACCAGCTATTACAAAGAATTCCACCTGCCCTTGTTCAATTTGACAGCACTTTATTCATTCCTAAATGAGAAAATCGGGTCTTGATAACACATCACCCAAAGGGGTTTGCATCATGAGGCTTTTTTGCTAAGCCTAGATTTGCTGGCACATGCATGCAGGCAATGAGGAACTTCAGTGTGAGCATCCTCAGAGTCCTCCAGCATGGTTTCTAATCCAGCAGCTGGCACTCTCAACAGCAGCACCCACAGCCACTCCTCCTGCGGTGAGGCTGCTGTGGCCCACTTTGAAGAGCCTTGGTAATGCTGGGGATATACTAATCCTAGTTGAGAAACTTCCCCAACCTCATTCTTACACAGAAAAGTGAAGTTTTGGATAGAAGCTGACAGATATTTTGAAATTTCAAGGAGGGCTTCCAAACTCACTTCTCCCATGCAACCTCACCGGAGGAATCCTGAGAGTGTTTGGGGTAAAAGACGAGACCTTTCATCACGGGGCTGTACAGCCATGCCCAGGTGCTGTTCCCTTACGGCATGACTAACACCTCCTTACAGCCAGGTACCACCAAGGCTGCAACACAGGGATGACAGCACAGTTCTGTACTATCCTCACCTGAGAGGTTCTGTCATTCACAATACTGCTCAACAAAATATTATAAAATCGTGGCAACCGCTGTCCCAATTACTACTTGAAGACAGATGTATTTGTTTTTTCAGCACATATTGGTGCGTATAATGCATTTAATTTCCTAGTCTACAATTAGCTGTCTATCAGGCTCACCAGAGTGAACACAGATTATTTTCCGAGATGCTGGTTTTACTGAAAATGATGAGTAATTTACCATCAGCCTACAGCAATTCAGAATCCACTACAGTACTGGATCAAATCTGTAACTGAGACTGGTGCAAATTCAGAACCACAACCGATTTAACCATGGCCTTCACAGCGCGTTTTTAATACTTTTATATATGTATACATAAGAGACCAAGGGAAAACGATTTGATTAAAAACCAAATTAAAAACCCCAAAACAAAACACATTTCATCCTTTTGAGACCATTTATCAATTTTTACCATTGTTGACATAAATTGTCAATTGTAATTTCATAATTTGAGCACTCCAAAAGAAACAATTAAAACCGAGTAATCAGACGCGTATTGTTTGAATTGACTGCAAAATGAAGTCTAGATTATCTCTTAAACTGCATTCTGCAGTAGATTAATTTCAGCTTTGCAGACATTCAATCAAAGCATTAATCTGCTTTGATTAGTGTCTAGAAATTCCCTATTCAAATATTGATTCCAGATTCCAATAACTATTTTCCGTAAGTACTTTATTAAGAGTTTCAAAATTCAAAAGAGGCAACTTGATGGATGTGGCAAATAAATGAGTTTAACAGAATAATGAATAAAATTATATTAAAATTGTTTATTGGCACATTTCTTCATTCATCTCAAAAGACCCTTTAGAGAATTTTCCCACAGAATCACTGAATATCTCAGATTAGAAGGGAGCTCAGGGTGTCACCTAGTCCAATGTCCAGCTGAAAGCAGGACCACAGGAAAACTGTCATAAAAGCAGGTGGTTTTAAAATGTGCTCCAAGGCTTTCATCACAAAACCTAACAAACTAACTGGCTGACAAACAGTACAACAATTCAAAGACATCTTTTTCTGATGTTTCCTTAAGCGTAAAGAACACACAACGTGCATTATTCACAACTTACCTTGCAGAAACGTTGGTGAAGTGCATATACGATGATATGACTACGCCAATCCTTCCTTTGCCCCCCTGTATTAGCAAAATTAGAATGACAACTTATTTATTACATTATCAGGCATTACTTTATTTAAGACCTACACTAAACAAAACTTGAGTTCAGTGACCTGAGCTCCTGTGTTGCTGGAAAGGTGGAAATGCTACGCAGCAGCTTGTCTGTCTATGCACGCTGGCTAACAAGCGACATAAAAAACACTAAGCAGGATTTCTACATGCATGCCTGTCAAGTCTTACTGATCAAGTCAAAATTATTTTAAAAAACAGTAATATTTTGACCAGTAGTAGCAACATTGTATCAAGTATTCTAATTTTATATTACTTTTCCAGAGATCATTCAAGACAAGTCTAGACAGTGCTGTAATTTCTGGCATTAAATGCTATAAAGTACCCCTTTTGGAAAGCACGAGTTTCTGACAGGTTTGGGCATTTTTACCTCCCCAACACCTGAGATTTATAACAACTTCTATTTATTTTTCTATGCATAATTTAAAAAATGTTCCAAAAATCTTATCAAATAATTTACATAACACAAATACAATTTACCAAGCAGTAATTCTCCCAGATTTCAAAACACTTGTAGTCTCTCAGCTGATACAAGTAGCTGTATCTGTCTTTGTGGTTGGAAACTTCAAAGTCATTATGCAAAGGCATTAATCAACAACATGCATTACCAATTTGTAAATAAAATACTTTGTCCCATGTCTGGGCCATCCTGCTGGCTAGTCAGAATTCAATAGTGTTTCATACAAACATGGCACTGCCTGCAAGCAGTTCAGGACTGGGGACTACACGCCCTGACCTGAAGAGAAGTTTTGGTTCCATTATCACCCTCATTCTGTTTAGAGTAACATCTGCCAGCGATACAGAGAGAGATTTGCCTCCAGTGTCACCAGCGCAGCTCCCAACTCAGTTCTGAATTCATTTTATCTATATTTAATTAGGGCTTCTCTTTATTTCTCACAATTTCGTTGTGAGTATGCAAGGAGATGTTACGCTGCACAACGGTGGCTTTGCTGTAAGGCACAGCAATGACACTGGCAGTTAGGACCTGTCAGAAGGACTCAATGCTCTCATTTCCTACAACCATATGACAGTCTAAAGGGATGATCCGTGTGATATCTTCACAGCATCACAGACTGGTCTGGGTTGGAAGGGACCATAAAAATCACCCAGTTCAAACACCCCTGTCAGCAGGGACACCTTCCACTAGACCAGGTTGCTCAAAGCCTCATCCAACCTGGCCGAGAACACTTCCAGGGAGGACCAGCCACAGCTTCTCTGGCCAACCTGGGCCAGTGTCTCACCACCCTCACACCAAACAATTTCTTCCTCACATCTCAGCTCCATCTCCCCTCTGCCACTTTCAAGTCATCACCCCTTGTTCTGTCACTCCCTGCCCTTGGCCAAAGTCCCTCCCCAGCCTTCCTGGAGCCCCTTCAGGTACTGGGAGGCCACTAGAAGGTCTCCCCGGAGCCTTCTCTTCTCCAGGTCCATGTCCTCCTTCTGTTAGGCGCCCCAGAACTGGACGCAGTACTCCACATTGCCTATCTTTATCCTGCAACAAAATTCTTGAGTGTCACAGAACACGAAGAGCTTCTAAAAAGTTTGCTGCTGAGCAGGAAAAACCTCAAGCTTCTAAGTATGCTCACGGGAGTAGCGCTGACCTTTAAAGGAAGCAAACTCACACCACTGCATGTACTGGTGTACCACTGCATGTACTGGTGTACCACTGCATGTACTCGGAGCAGAGGGCAGAACCTTAGCTATCAAAAGCAATTTGTAACAAGCACGCACAGTCAGTGGATTTAAGCTTCCTTTAATCACCTGAAGACCTGGCACACTGTTTCCAACATCAAAAACAGACAAAACTTATTTTTTTTTAATGAGTAAGTATAAAGGACAAGATTTTTGAACATGAATGCAAACTGATAGGCAATGTGTATGCACAAAGCTCACTCACTCTGCAGTGGATCACCACCACGTGTTGAGGATCACTGTTCAGCCATGACTCCATAGCCTTGCAGATGGTGCACACCTTATCGAGAGGCGGAGCGTGGAGATCAGGCCACCCCACATCCATGATCTGCAATTAAACATCTAACAGTCACAAAATACTCCTTGACCCTCATACTGCATATTAAAATCTGGCTTCAAACAATGGCAATGGTGAAAAGTCTCCACATTTTTTCCATCCCCAGATAACAGTGTCATTTGAATGCCATGATGTAACCAAAATATGCTTATAGGTCTCTTAAGAGGAAGAAGGGGATTTACTTGGTTTTTTAAAGACACTAATTCTTTTATAAAAACAAAAAATTCCTCCCAAGCCCATCAATCACTAACAAGTAAAAACATTTTTGAAGATCTTGATTTCTTAAAACATTTTAAATTAGAAATTCAGGCATATTATGTTTTCTTACTCTGTATATCAACCCTTGCATAGCTTCAGGGCTTACCAGGCCATTTAAGTTGTACTTAACACTAGAAAGAGATGTATGTTATGGAAGACAACCAATACCTTTGGGTTAAGCTTGGCAAGGTCATATCTCTTTTCAGAGAGGTTTAACACCTGTTCAGAAAGAACAAAAAAAATATCAGCCATCAAGACTTCCTAATTTATGTAGGAAATACCTGTATTTGAAACACACGATAATTACCAGAAACTACAGTGATACAACTTCACATTTCCCTACTGTTTTATTAAACTGATGTTTGAAGTCAGGTAGTGCTAGCAAATGTGTTTTAGGTGTTCAGTTACTGTATGAGGAAACTAGAGATGAAACTAAACACATTTTGAAAAAGGGCAATTAAACTTCTGCTACATTTTATTTGTCTCACATAGTTTTATTTTAGTCAGAGGTATGCTGCAAGACCTGGGCAACATGCAAAATAACTGCATGGCATAAGAATTAACAAAGAAAAATCTGGGAGGGTGGTACAGTCTTAAATATTTTGAGTGCCTAGCAAGAAAATATGAACATTTCACAAGGAAGATATGGCATAGCTATTTAACTATAGCTTAGCCTGGGAGATCTTCCACTTCTTCTGGTAACCCCTTAGACAGTGAGCTATCATACACTTAGTGCTTAATAAGGAACAAATAAGGACGTGTTACTTAACTTGGATGTGCAACCCCATCACAGACACAGTGCAAGCAGCAAGACATTCCACTATCTTTAGGAAAATGTACACTTTTTCAACAATAAATTCATCCAGAGAAAGAAGAAACCCCCAAATTCACAAGGCGCCCAAGAAAACGGCTTCTATTTTAAGCTCCAGAAGGTTCTGGAATCACTCACAATATTAACCAAAAATGCAAAAAAAGTCTGTGTTTTAAACTGATTACTGCTGAGGAGCTAAACAGCAATCAAAAATTCATATGTGCACTGTCCTTATTATTTTGGATGAGGAAGATGTATCAACATTTACAATTAAGACTGTAGTTATCCTTCTAGAAATACCAACTGTAATTTAACAGGAATTAAACCAGACGTGTCTTATACAAACAACTCACAAAAATTTCTGTAATTTTCTATCAGTCTTAATATTTGCAAAACAATCTAGGGCATCTTGAGGACAACAGCTGGTTCATAATGTATCTGTGACCCCTTGGTTTGTGAGCAAAAGAAAACGCATTTAAATTGTTAGGTGGAATCTCTTCAGAAACTAATTTCCACCCTGAGTTAAGTTCATGCTCCTGAAGCTGTGAATTTCATTCTAATTACACTCCAACTAAAAAGACAGTAGAAGGAAAAAGTAATTAAAATACTGGCCTCGTTTTTAAATTCATAGAACCTTCATAGAACAAGTCAAGACAATACATGCCATAGGTTTTAGATGCACTAGCCAGAAAACGGTACAGAAGATTTAAGAGTTTGGGTCATCACTTTAAAAAAAAACCAAAAAACCAAAAAAAACAAACAACAACAAAAAAAAAAACCCTGCACACAGAGCTCATTATAGATTTGCTTAATTCCCTATAGAAAACTACGCAGCAGGAAAAAAATGCCTCTCTATCAATGAATGAGAAAGAGCTGGACAGAACACACAAACAGCAACCCTACTTCTCTATGTTGTTTCACAACGTACAGTAGATACAGCCCAGACATGATGGTGAGAGACCAGATACCCAGCTGAGGATCCAGATGTAGCTGGCTGCTAGAAAAAAGAACATGAATCCACACTGCGAGGTGTGTATCTTTTAAAAGCATGCTTTGGACAATGAAAACGGTCGGTGCAATCATTCTACAGCCTTTCACTACGTGCTGTCACAGCAGAGACTGCAGTGCCACCAGCAGAAAAGTTCTTTTAGTATCTGTCCTTGCCTAACACCACTGAAAATCTGGTTCTTGCTTCCAAAGCTGAAAGGTGGACCAAAGAGGCTTCAGATGAGTAACTTCAGTTTAGAGTGGTATCTGTGGCCCTACAAGTGGTCTTCCTGTGGAACAGAAGATGTATCACAAAAGACTGATCCTGCACATACCAAGTAATTATCTCCATGTTTGGATTTGAGCATTCGGGTTACATCCTGTAAATTGTGGAGGTAAGTTTCCTCAGAACAGCTGCCGGGGAAGGACACAGCGATGATCCGCTCTGTGATGTAAGTGAGGTCAAGTTCATAGCCTTCCTCCATAATGTGATCAAAGTCTGCACTTCTGTGAAGAAATCAGATGTGGCAGCTCAGAACAAAGCAGTCGAGAACAAACACAACATATTAATGAGAAGAAACTGCATCCTGGACTCATGCAGTCAAGCAGCTGATGTTTCCAGTATTTTCATTACAATTACAACTTATTAGATGCCTACAGAGCTCACATTATTCAGTTCAGCACACAAATGGAGTTTGGCAAACATCAGAGTTCTTCACATCTAAACTACAATGAAAAAAATCTCTGCAACCAGTAATACAGAAGAGCAGTAAAATGAATACAAGCAACTGCGACAAACACCAGTGCAACAGATTTGGGAGTTAAGTAGAACGCATATAGGTACTTATGTCTGCACAAATCTCCTTTTCTGCAGAATTCTGCAAATGCTTTACAAACTGGGAGATTCACCAGTGAGCTGTAAAACACTGCAGACAGAGTTACACTGAAGTGAACCCAAAACCAGTCCTCAAACTGCAGCAGACACAGATGTAATGCAATTAATCTCACAGGTTAGTCTACAGACACTGTTTAACAACTTCTTTTCCAGGCTGAGGGCACAACCAGGCATCTTATATTGTCCTTCTTAACAGAATAATCAGAAGATTATAGCCATGAAGTTAAAAGTAAACTCAGCAAATACATCTAGTTGTTTTCTCAGACAGGGATTGTAAAAATGGTCCTTCCAGAGCAGGAGATGTCTTGCAGAAGACTGAACTCACAGAAGTCACAACCACAAATAACAAAACCTAAGCCCACCACAGCATTATGTGACACTGCTCCACCAAATATGAAAGAAATACTTGCCGTGATCCTTTGTCACAACTGAAGGAGGAGTTCTTTGAAGCACTGCTGGAATTCTGGAACAAAGAGAGCAGAATGGTCAACCTGGTACCTTCCTTGCCGCCACTGATGTCAATGTTCCTGCTTTTTTTCCTCATTTATTATGTCCCTAATGTGGAAAACTAGACCAACAGTAGGATTAGAGAGGATGACCGCCTTATGTTTTGAAATCAAACACTGTGGTCATGGCCAGGTTATGTTCAACTCTTTATCCTCTTCCAACTCCTGCCAGAGAAGGACTGGCTGTATTTTCTACTCTGCTTGGTAACTGCATTAGGATCAGAGAAAACATTCAGCAGACTCCTGAGAAGATGGAGCTTGAATTGCTGTATAAACCAGCAGAAGTAAGTTCCTCTCAAGTGATTCTCTTGTGACAATATTGAAAAACATACTCAGTTTATTCCAGTGTCAGAGTCCTAGGAGTTTGAATAGAAGCTGAGCTGCAATGGTTTTGTTTTATGAGAATTTAGTGTGGGTCTTTCGTAGTTCCATTGGTTCAGTAATAGTAACTATGCATAAAAAAGTGTCAAGTGTGAACCTTAGTAACAGAATTTCTCTCATATAATTGTAGCTGTCTCAGAATTGAGCTCTAGTGTGATAGTCACCCAAGCTCTGTACAGAATGGAGAGAAACAGAGACATCTAGAGGGGGCAGCACCCCTCCTTCCAGGACAGGCTCTCAGAAAGAGACAGCTGTAACTACACTAGCATTAAAGAAATAAAAATATTTACTTCACACTTAGAGATCTATTTTTATACAGAAAAATCAGAAGTTCAATTTAATATCATGCATCAGTAGCTCTGTAAGACAAAAATATTCACTCACTTTCCTGCCCTGAATTTATACTTACTATACAGAAAAATGCACAGAAAAGCTTATTCAGATGAAGGTTAAGAGCTGGAAAGCTGATAAACCTGATCTGTTTCAGTTACACACATGATGAATATTCCCAAAGCAAAGGAAGTGTGTTCAAATGGAAGAGACCTTCAAACCCTGCATACAGTGAGGTGTATTAAACCTGGGCACAGCTGGACACAGACAAGCACCAGGACACACACACAGACATGCAAGTGGCACACTCCCTTCCAGAATTTCTGGAAATAAGCTGTTCTGCTAAATCTGAAAGTACACCTGATGGCATAAGGTGCATCTCATTTAAGTGTTTGGTCCCAGTTCCACTAGTTCCTGTCTTACACAACAGAAAATGAGGAAACTTCATGGCATTTTCAGCTTCTCTTTACTCAAACCTTTCTCAGTATTTTAAAGGCTGTAGGTAATACACCACAGGTGCTAAAACAAGTAAATAACTAACAACTGAAATTCAAGACAAAGCTTTTAGCATATTTTGTTTTTATAACTAGAAAGCAATTAGCAGAACATGTCTCTCCCCCCACTTCCTTGGTCTCTGTTGGTCACAGGTGTATCCATCACTTAGGGAGTACTTAAACCATTTCTTCATAAACTTTATGACTAAACCTCCATGTAACCTGAATAATCAGTCACTCAGAGGCTCCCTCTGGTAAAACAGTAAGTGATAAAATCTGTTGCACACTGCTGCAGCATACAAACTAGGATATAACCTAGCAGCACGCAGCATACAAGCACATGGACAAGACATAACATAGAAAAAACCCTGTTAGAGAGATCGACATTTCCCACACGTGGGCTGTGTCCCCTCCTGAAATGCACAGTGCCCTCTCCTGCTCTGGGTACAAAAAAAGAATCTGGACAGCTTCCACAATTCAGTAGCTGCTACAACTTAAAACTTAAATTACTAGCACTGCTTGAAAAGAAATTTTGATTGGTTGCACATATAAAAATAGAAATATATCCGTTTGAAAGGACTCTTGTTCTGAAATCTCATTTAAGTATCACAGTTCACTGCTTGGTCTCCAACAGTTTCGATACTCTCCAGTCTCTCACTATGGGTGTGCTTTTATAGAATTCTGGACAGCTCCCAAAATCAACAGAACTCAAAACAGAACTTCAAAAGATACTTTGATTCAGACCATGAAATTTCCCCTTGCCTATCTATGGTGCACCAAGCTACTAAATTTTATATAATTTAACCCTTCATAAGGTCAAGATCACCCTGTACGTTTTACGTTGACTACAATCAATGACTTGTTGGCAAACGGACAGACAGGCAAGGTCACATCTCCATTTTTCTGCATGTCCTCTAGGTTATAGTCACTTCTTCCTCTCTTCCATGGCCTAATTACCTTCTAGCTAGCGATGCATTCTTTGTTCTTCAGTTTTTCTTCTTACTCTTTCTTTAGTTTACTAATTATCAATGACTACACCACTAAGTTCTCCCCTCACAGCTAAACATTTAGCAAAATCCATCGAAGATATAATACATGACTTACTACAGAGGCAAAATGGTTACTGAAAAAGCTTTTTAAAGGCTTGATGAGACACGTAGCACATATGCATGTGCCCTTACAGTGTGTTCTCAAACACCTGAAGAAGCTGTTACAGCAGTTCTCCCAACAGGCAATCTGTAAATGTGAGGTGTACCTCACCATGCTTCTGACAGAACTCCGGTTTAACAGTCAGTTGAAACCAATCTTGAACTCACGTGCCTGTCTCTGATTTTTCCCAACATGTCAATGTGGTTCCAGGGTCATTTCACTGATAAGCACAGATGCCTTTTCATTCAGGACCTAGTCCTACACACAGATCAGCAGAATACGAGTTTCACCAAGGACAGGAGCCAGTGGCACAAAGCAGGCTCTACATACAGACAAATCATTTCCATCCAAGTAAAAAGAGAGAAAAAAAAAAAAAAATCACTATTTTCTGCCTTGCAGCACACTGGAGGGATAACAGCAAAACATCTGATTATCTGTCAAAATCCTGTCTGTTATCTCCCAGGATGGACAATTACACACGAAGTCTTGTAAAACCAGACATGATTTTCAACTCCTGTCAGCCAAGAGCAGTACAGAGATGAGGGGGAATGAAAAATAACTGCTCAAAATGAGGTGTTTAACCACACCTGGCTAAAAATTTAGAGTGGTAAGTAGGATAGATCCAGTGGAACTAGCACTTAATTTGTTGCCAGGAGGACAGATTACCCTGAGATTAGTGTTCCTTGAGCTTCTCCCCTCGATTCTGGTTCCCCTGCTTCCCTGGGACTGCCAGGCAGCACAGACAGTACAACCAGTCATTTGAGAACCAGAGTTTGGAAAAAAAAAAAAAAAAAAAAAGAAAACATTGCCCATTTACCTATTTGCTCAGTTTTAGGGAATTTTTACATCCCAAACCAACGGCTCAATCCCAAACAATGCAGTAAGGGTTATTCCTGGATGAGCAAGTGCAGAGGACACCAAGCTGCAGCTGTGTGCAAGCCAGCAGGGGGGAGCAATTGCTTCTCAAAAGACCATTCATTGTCTTCTCTCCAGCCACAGAAGGATCTGAACCAGCAAATCCACTGTGTTCAGGGGACTGTGTCACGGCTTCAACAGACAAAACTCAAGCCACACCATTCTTTCCTCCGACATCCTCCTTACTGCTTCTTTTACCATCTCTGACTCCTGCATCTCGTCCTGCGTACGCGGCAGAGCTCGCTATCCCATCTCTCTCAAAAACACAGTCCCTGGATGAGACCATCCCAGAGTGCAGCCCAGCCTAGGCCTGACAGAGGCTCAGAGACAGCCCCATATTTAATTCTACATTATTGTGAGCAGATCACAGCAGTCACTAGAAGGTAAGTTTCCCAGGAGTCTGCTGTCACTGGAAATGTAGGAAGTGGGCAAGACAGCAATTAAAGTGCAGCTTGGACAAAACAGGCTTCCACAGAATCACAGGCTGGGCTGGGTTGGAAAGGACCATAAAGCTCATCCAGTCCCACTCCCCCTGCCATCAGTAGGGACACCTTCCACTAGACCAGGTTGCTCAAAGCCTCAAAGAAATAAATGAAGTGAGTCAAGTTAAAAAAAAATCATAAAATAAAAAATAAATCAATAAATCTGTAAAAAAATGTCCCGTTCCTGGCACTGAACTATCATATAATAATACAATATCTGTGTAAAAGTGATCTCAGCAGAATATAAGAACTAATTCCTAAAGCATGGGGTTGTTGTGAACAGCTGAGACATCTGTTCATCAAATACACATTCCTCCAAGGAACACCACCACGGAAAACTCCAGGATCCGACCGGCCTTCACAAAGCCCAGCTATTCTCTCCTGGGCTCCTCCTGGCACGGAAGCACCAACAGCGTCAGGATCAAAGAGAGAAACTACAACTGTCCAAAACAACAACCGGTGAGTAATCTGTGACTTAAAGGTGACTTACTGTGACAAAAAGTGACATGGATCTACTTGGGACATAAATATTCTCTTTGTGCCTGTTTTTAACGTTGATATAGGCACCAGAAAAGTTGATTAGCTAATCTGTCATGAAATCACGTGCATGTTACACAGCTTTTCATTCGCCCACAACACTTTTTTCCACACAGTTGTTCACTGAACAGCCGCAAATACGAACACAGAGAGACCGATCAGCAGGAGACCTGAATGCGTTTTAGCCAGATTTGTGATGGTATTTTCATTCCCCCAGTCACAGACAGGAGTCAGAAGAAACTCTCTGACCTGTTCCACAGCACAGCCTACCAGTTCTACACAGTCTCTAATGGTTCTAACATCATAGAAAAGCCAGAACAAGGAACTATGCTGACCACTGGACTGCTCCACCATGGTGATTCCTACTGACACAGTAGTTGCTTTTGGAAGCTACACTGAAACACATGTTTGGATGTCTTGGATAAGAACCAAAATTTGCATAATCTTTTGGCCTCTGGCTTTAGAATGATTCCTAATGTGGAAAACAAAGCTTCGTGACTTGTGAATACAAACGTCTCTGCGTATCTACTCCTGCAGTAAATATTTAAAAATTAGTAAAGTTCTTTTTTGGAGTTTACTCTCTGCAGAAGAGATTGATCATTATTTCTACTGCAAACAGCTATGTGCTTGGCTGTACATTTTATTTTTGTTCTGTCTGTATACTATGTTTGTAAAAATAACCATCTGTTCCCCCGTGCAGTGTAACAGCAAGAGTCCAGACCAGCGTGCCCCTTGCAAGCGGCAGTGTCCGGAGCAGTTCTAAATCCCAGCCTGCTGTCTCCCTGCCAGATAGCGCCCTGACTCTCACCTGCTGGCAAAGCTGCTCCCACAACCCTTCCCTACAACACTTCAGCCCAGAGAGGCCATGCTCCCCTAAACAAGTGAACTGGGGGAGCTTTGTCATCCAGCTCATTGTTGGCAAGTCAGTGGGGCACGTGGACATGGAGTTCCACCTACCAATCTGCCAGGGCAACAAGGAACCAACTGGGGCAGTGTGATAGTTTCACCAGCCTGGCCTCAAACACTTCCAGGGGGGAGCAGCCACAGCTTCTCTGGGCAACCTGGGCCAGTTCTATCAACTAACAGAAAACTATGTGCACACAATTCTTGGATAAAAAGTGACAGAATCACTTCTGCCAGCCCCCAGCTGAAACAAGAAGCCTCATTTATTTGTTTTTAATATGTCACTATTAAGAGTAAAATAATATTCCAGCCCACAGGAGCATGAGGAAGCCCTCTACATGTAAGAACATTCACTTCTGACTTCCCGACTGTGTTACCCGTGCCTCAGAGTTATCCCAAACAGCAGAATCAAGCTACCAAAGGTTTGTTTCTGACTCTACCAAGAACTCAAGCCAAACTCTCTCTGTTGATGTTCACCCAGCTTTCCTACAAAGCAGTAAGGGCTGATGCTATAGATATCCATTGCTAGGAAGAAGCAAGAGAGCTTTTCCTTCCTGGAGCAGATGCCACAAAGACACAAAGGAGACTGAGGAAGGGAGAAGAAACCTCAGAGCCAGAGAAGGGTCAGGCAGGTTAAAGCAGTCTCTTGCTATTAGTGCTGGGATTTGGGTTCAGCTGGGATTGCTTAGGAGAGAAATGTTGGTAACACACAGATTTTTTCACTTGTCACTGGAAGTCAAAGTACTTTGTGTTTTAATATCACTAAGTTTTATTTATTTCCGTTATTAAACTGTTCTTACCTCACCCTATGAGTCTCCTTACCCCTGTCCCCCAATTCTCTCCCCCACTCCCTGGGGCCGGGGGGAGTGAGTGAGCGGCTGGGTTTGGCTCCCAAGCCCAGTGAAACCACCACATTCTATATCCAGCAACACCCTGCCTCTCCTCCACCACACCCTTTGCTCCTGGGCTGTTCTGGTCCATGGAAAGTAACTACTAAAAATTGCAGGAAACTTGCTAATGGTCAAATACCAACCAATGCAAAATAGAACAGGACAAAAGGCGCTGCTTGTCACTAAGGCTGCCTTCAAAATATCTGTGTGGGAGCTACCACATGTACAGAAACAAACCCAGAAGTATGACCTTGGCTCGGGTAATAAGCAACCAGTGCAAACAGAAAACCCTCTGAAGTATTCAGAAACAACACAATGAAGCTAAAAACTTCCAACTAACTATAGAAAACAATCTGCAATTATTTTCCTCACAACATGTCTCATTATTTTGCTTCCCATTTGTTACACTAGAAGCAGCTGTCACAATGCATTAGTCACATGCAGATAATGAAGAAGTTTGCTCTATTCTGATTTTTTTTATTATTATTTTTTTAATTTTAGTTAACTCATCTAGTTAAGGAAGAGCAAAGTGAAGGGAGAAACAATCTTGCCACTAGACATTTTAGCTGGTTTCCATATCAAATATATTCTAGCAACTCAGAAATAGCTGGAATTTTACTGGAACAGTGTGGACAGCAGCAGGGAACCAACCCAGCGATGACCTCGGCTGTACAAAAACACGTATTGCCACCGCAAGCCAATGGTGCTGGTAACACAAACAGCCCGTGAGAAGGTCTCCTGCCTGGCTGGGCAGCCAAGGACCAGACTCTTCACACCCTGCAGCAAGCGGCACCAGCAGAAGCTGCAGCGCCAAACCAGGGAGGATGTCACAGAACAGAACAAGCGTGACGCCCATGGGTGACACTGGAGGAGCTGCTCACTCACTGGAACACGGAGCTGCTCTGCACTGAAGGGTGAACCCGTAAAGAACCTGAGCATCCCCCAAGTCCTCCCCTCTGCTCCTTTTCCAGTGTTAACCTCGTCTTTCCAGCGGTCAAACGCCTGCAGCACAGCTGCCTACCAGAGTCACCTGCAGGCATCTCCTGGGATTTATTTAGAAATCAAAGGAACTTCTCTGATAAAGGACTTCAGAAAGTCTTTCTTTGTTTTACTAATTTCACAGAAATTGCACTACAAGCACACTCACACGTGCTCTCAGTATTGAAATGTGCAGCATTTCCCAATGCAGAAATGTCTCCATCACTTAGCAGACTGGCTTCTGTTTCACTTCAATAAATGTATTTAATACTACTTGTACCAGTAGTACTACAGCAGCAATAATAATAAAAAGGGTTAGGAAGAGGCACGTAATTTGTTTTGTAAATAGCACAACACAGTAACTTGAACAAATAAAGGCTAAAATATCAATTGCATACTGACCACAAAACAAGAACTAATATTCTTCCTGGTGAAAAAAAAATCTGCATTTCTGAACTCCTCTGAATATAACCAGTCCATGAAGATTTTAATATTTCTCTTTACTTTTTCCCTGCTTGATTTAGAAATAAGGAACACAGTTCATTTCATTGCTCCTGGATAAACACAGGCAGGAAAAACCCACTAATTATCCTAATCAAAGGATAATTTTACACAGTATAGAACCCAAAGCACATGGTTTGAAAATGGCTAGGTGCAATAAAAATAAGCAGTCAACAACAGGAAAATAAATCAGGCCAAGTAAAGGAAAAAGAAATAAATAAAATGGAATTACTTACAGTTCTGGTTACATGACTTTTAACGGTCTCAGAGTTATTAACCTGCAGAAGGAGAAAGGTTAACAAAATGACTTTAATTTTCCAGACAGTTTAACTATATCCTAAGAAATCTCTTCTTAATGTCCACACAAAATAAATAAATCATTCAGAATCTCATGTATGCTCTACAGTATTAATAACCAAACTATTTTTCAAACAGATACTGAAAGCAAACTGATTTTACACTATCACCCTGCATATCCAGGTCCTGGAAGCCAGCAGGCAGCTGCTGAGGGTGTTTACTTCCCAATCCCTCATTTTACCATTTTCCATGAAAACAGACACTTGCATGGGTATTGATAAAGTGAACTGCCTAGGATTTTCTTTATGCACCGAGTAAAATCTCTGGTCAAGGCTTTAAAACATGCTAAGTTGCATCTGTTGAAGTTTAAAATAAACCTTTTACAAGAAATGAGCCAATCCACTACTACAAAAATCTAAGGTAGATCACCAGAAACACAACTTCCCATCAGTCCATGCTTTTGGATTGACGAGTACAATCAGTCTAAAATCAAGGGGATGCAAAGGGGAAGTACGGTGGAGAGACATGGACCTGTTGGAGCTGGTCCAGAGGAGGCCACAGAAATGATGAGAGGGATGGAACAGCTCTGCTGTGAGAGACTGAGAGTTCAGGCTGGAGAAGGCTCTGGGGAGACTTTCTAGCGGCCTCCCAGTACCTGAAGGGGCTCCAGGAAGGCTGGGGAAGGACTCTGGACGAGGGCAGGGAGTGAGAGAACAAGGGGTGATGGCTTGAAACTAAAAGAAAGGAGATTCGGACTAGATAGAAGGAAGAAATTGTTTACAAGAGGTGGGAGAAGCCCCATCTCTGGAAACATTCCAGGTGAGGTTGGACGGGGCTCTGAGCAGCCTGGTCTGGTTGCAGATGTCCAGATGTCCCTGTCACTGCAGGGGGTTGGACTAGATGGCTTTGAGAGGTCCCTTCCATGACTGTTCCCACCACTTGCCCACAGACTGGGGCACAGCAGAGCAGGCCTGGTCACTGCACAGGCAGCTGCAGCCACAGCCCTCCCTGGTGAAACAACAGGAAGGGTCCAGGAGAGACCACAGCAATGGAGAGGGCTGGCCACGTGTGCCCTCCACCTCCATTCACCACTCATGCTTGCTATGTGCATACAACTCTCGCTTTGGAGGCATCACACAGGTGCTGTGAGCTAAAGGCTGGATGCAGCAAACAGGGCAAAAAAGTCAGTCCTGTAAATAACACACTTGGGCATTTTCCTAGTTTTCTGCAAGATTTCTGTCCTGTTGCTTGGAAGAAGAAAGAAAAAGGACAACCAAGAAATGAGTTAGTCATAAGTCACAGAAGTTTAGTACAAATCAAACCCACTTGATGCAATTTTCCAGCAAAGCTTTTACTGATTTAATCTGGAAACCAAACCTGTAGCTGGGAGAGGAAAATTGTTGTGTACATCAGTTCCTAACTCAGCTGAGTCACTGTCACCACTCTCCGTGTATTTGGAGGTCATTCCTGATTAACCCAACCCAACAATCCCACATCTTCTAAGAGGCCCCACTTAAAATGAAACTGGAGAATGCAATTCTCCATCTACATGGTCAGGCCTTCCCAACAGCACAACCAGTACTTCAGCCTCAGATTTCTCAGAAACAAACAAAAAAAACATCTCCTGCAGGCTCACATTAAAAACAGATGGGCTGCGCTCCATGGGAACACAGACAGCCTCACTTTATTTTTTTTTTTTCCCCTGGGAAGATGTGTTTAAAAAGTAAATGAATGCAGTAAGGATAAAAATACATGTTGTCATATCTACTGATCTCTCTCAGCCAAAGCATCTGGGGAGGATTGCATTCACCAGACACCATGAAAAAAAGGAACGGGATAGGTTTTTTGCCAAAAAGGGCTCATTTTCTTTCAAACATTGAGTTTTCTTAAGGTTTTCTGTTCTCTTCCTCTCTTTCCACATATATAATTGGTTGTTCATTTTTGTTTTTCTTTGTACCATAATACATTTTCACAAAAATTCACTTTGAGTTTCTTTTGAGAAAATGCCAGCACTAGGTTGGATATATGAAGGTAAGTGTTAATTAACTACCACAAATTTCAAGTAAAAATGAGATATGCAGTTAGGATGAGGCCTTTGTGACTTCGTCACTCACATCTTCAGCAATTTTTTCAAGGTATCTCCCCATTCTTTTTTTAAAAAAAGAAAAAAGGCAAATGAAAGACACATACTCTCAAAAAAAACCCAAACCAGAACACCTGCATGCACACAAAAACCCCTTTTCTCCCACAATTACTTTCATTTTGTTCCCCTCCTCTTTTGAGACAGGCCAGAGCACAGTCATACTCACTGTTCACAGTCAGGTTTTTGGTTTGTTAGGAGGGGCCTGAGTGTGAGAGTCTCTGATTTTTCTCTTCACAAGCAGAAGAGAGGCTTGTGTACTTAAGGAAAACAGAGTTCAGCAAAACAAGAAAAGCAGAACCACTGCCACCCCTCCTCAATTTCTATCAAAACTATTAAACTTCCACCCGAGAGTTAGCGAAACAGCTAACAAAGTCCTGTTTGAAGCGCTGTTACAATAACGCAGGGGTAGCTGGGCAAGTGTCCGTGTAACGGTTCTGTGTCAGCACGGCTGGCTGTGCAGTGGGATGGCTGAACGGCAGCGCTACAGGTGAGCAGGATTCCTCAGCACCCAGTGGGAAAAAAGAAACAAAAAAGAAGAAAGGTTACAAAGGGTTATAAAGGTGAAATCAGAAATTTCTCTGGTAAGGATCACTACTTAACCGTGCCTTAAACCTGACAGGTCCTGCAGCGATAAGGACCATCCCAGCCACAGAGCCTTCACGCCGCATTTCATTGCCACAAGAGATTTGGTAGGCTATGTGAGGGGCCTCGGGGGAATCCAGCCTTCATTTCCCTCATTCTTTTCACAGATATGCTAACATCAAGGATGGGGAAAAAAATCTCGGTGGAGACAAACGTGCTGCCCTCTTGATGCATCTTAAATTGTCCTAGAATACTTCCTAGAATCTAAAAATGACCTCAAAAATAATCTCCCTCCATTGGCTTTCCTTTTATTTTTATCTTTTAAAAGTAATAGATGAAATGTAAAGTATTTGGAGCTTCAAGACTAAAGCCTAAACATTCTCTTCTTTTTGTAGCACTAGAGAAAAAGGCTTGTTTAAGAAAAATGTGTATACTTGTTAGCAATTTTTTTTTTATTAATTACAAATGTTGATTTTAAAAAATGAGATCAACTGAGTAATTGTCAGTCTTTCAAAATGAGATCCAACAATTCCAGAAAAGGCTGTTTAAACAGACTTGTCATCTTTGATTTTTATAATTTTTAGGAGTACTGTTATAAAGGCTAAGTCAGCTCTTAAAAAAAAAAAACCCACCACCACCAAAAATCCAAACAAACAACAAAAAACCCACCACTGACCATGGCACTTGTTTTCCTCCTTTTCTCTTTAACATCTCTGGGTCATGCTCTATCTCTCTGCACTGAAAGTCCATTGTCACAAATAACCCATTGCCTCTTCATGAACTAAAATGAAGTGCACCAGAATAGGTCATCTTTGCTAAACATCTGACTCCAATTAACAGAGCTGGACTAACATCATCCCCCCTTCTCCGGGTAGGGGAATGTGCATGACAACATAAATAAGTAGTATTAGAAGACTTAACAGCAGCTGGTTTATATTTTAGCACCTGAAACTCCTAACAGCTGCCTTGGGTTGATATATAAGGGTCCTGATGTCATTACAGAGCTTCAGGATCCACGGCTCATGAGGAACAGGAAGAAAGGGCCTCTTTGGAAACAAGACTTCCAAGCTGAAAATAATCAATAAAACCCACATTCTGAAGAAAAAGAGCATCTGTGAGTTCCAGCAGGCTTCAACAGGCTTCCAACAGACATGCCACTGAGAGTTTAACTACAGCCCTTGCTGTAAGCCACACTAAGGACAGCAATACAAGCAACCACTACATTGGCTAAATATACGTGGTGCTAATTCAGAGCAGGCGTGTGTGCCGTTTATTTATGCGAGAACTAAAAGGCTGGAATTCCTTGGCTGGAATGAGTGGGGATAAATCCACAGTTCAGCAGCAAACTGCGCCAACAGAGTTTTGGTTAATTCGAAGAGAGTACTGCCCTCCCTATAATCCAAAGATCTCAACTACTTATTCTTGATCTTCTCAGTATTTTACACTCAAAATAGTTGTAAAAGAAATGGCTTATATCTAATACAGTCACAGATTATTCTCTTTCAGAACAACAGAACTCTTCACCAAACAGATAAAACTTATTTGTGCACAAGACAGACTCCTCATCTAAAAACGTCACCACATTTCACAGCAAAAGCAAAATACATTGCTCAATCTCACTCTCAGTATTAAGAACATACTGCATACCACATAGTGAAAATATTTCACCTCCAGCTTTCCCAGCAAGAAATTTAAACAGGATTCCACCCTTTCTTCCACCTAAAACTAGCAAAGGTTTTATTCAGAGACTGAATAGACCTCTGGCTACCACCTGCTAGTAAACTACAACACGCCAGGCCACTTTTGCCATCCAAACTGTCAGCACGTCGCAGAGTCACTTGGGTCCAGATCACCAGCACTGCCCCATGTTCACAGTTCACACCAACCAAGTTCAACCTGAATTATTCATGGTAAGGATCAGTAACACATCCCACAGGATGTTTAAAATGGCTGCTGAATCACAATGCCCAATTTTCCATGTCAGAATCAATACTCAGGTTGTGTGCACAGCACAAAAGGAATAGCAACTGCAGTTCCCAGTATACATCTAATACCGTGAGCTGCAGACGTAAGAGAGTTTCTTTTCTATCTCTAATTTCAGCAGTAATACAGGACACTCAGACTCTGATATGGGATAATTCACAAAATTACTGGGTCAAAATGAGGAGAGACTTCCCATGAGTCAATATTCACATTCCTCATAATACCGTCAATCACCGATTTAGGTTTCCAGCCTTTCTTTTAAAGGATAATAGTTAAGAAAAGCACGAACCAATACTCCCATGGCACCTTTTCACTTCTGTGGATCATATCAGGTTGAGTATCACAGCCTGTGTTTTCTCCAGCAGGGAAATCAAGACACAAAAACATGCCAAGTGACTTGGCCAATTCCCACAGCAAGGCAGAAGCGAGATGTAGGATTCCTGATGGCCAGTGGCTGCATCACATACCTACGACACACAGAGCGCTCGGGTACCAGCTGTTGGCTGCTTCACCCCAGTAATGACACTGGCAGGTGGCAGTTCAATAAATAACCCTGTGCTCCAGGCATCATCCGTGGTACCTCTGGAGCTAAAATAACCACCTTCAGTCACTCAGGCCAGAAAAGGCTCATCATTTCCCTGTCCTCAGCAGGCCTGGGTTAACATCCTCTCTTCCACCATCAACAAAAAGTAACGGGTCCCAAACAAATCCTCCACTGCTTGTACGTTCACACTGACAGGAGACATCAGTATGTTGAAACAATCAGTATCTTCCTTTTTTTATTTCTAACACACAAATACAAGCAGATCATGTAATATGGACAACTGCACCTGGTTGCTGTATCACAGGCAGGTCATCCAGTCCCATTTAAGAAGCCTCAGAACATTTCACCCAGTTAACCCTTAGCCTTGCAAAATGCTCCATCAAGCCACCAGATTCCTGCACGGGACAGGACACGGTAAGAAGCTTCAGGAACAGACCCATGATTTGCCAAGCTCTCACAGGGGAGAGGCGATGGCACACTAATGAAATAATAAGAGATTATGGGAGGTTACAGGAACAACCCAACCTCTAACCTAATCAAACCTGGTGGATATTAGTACTGCCAAAACACTTACCAGATCGTAGTTGCTTGGAAAAAAGCAGGGTGTCACCACCTGGAATAAAAAATAATAATAAAATAAGGAAAAAAGACATTTCCTTTGGAGATGACACAGTGCTGTTGACTGAGGTCCCTCAAACACTGTGAGACACAGGAGGAGCCAGAGGGGCACCAACCCCACCCAGTGCAGAAGGTGAGTGTCCACAGCCACTCTGGGCTGCTTTGCTTTCTCTCAGCCCCCTGAATAGTTCGTGTGAGCTCAATGCCATGTCAGCGCCCTGCTCACATGCTGTCATCAGTGAAACAGGTTGAAGAGTAACATCTTCCCTCAGGTCACACATGGAGGGCCCCTCTCCATGTGTGACCACCTTTTCACCCCCCCTCCATCCTTTGCAGCATCCTTTATTCTAATATAATCTCAGTTTTAGTTAATAAATAAGTATTCTGCTTTCCAAGTAAACTAGAACCTCAGCACTTCCCAGTACCTTGCCCTGGTCCTGGATTTTTATCATGGCCTCTGGGCTGTGGGTGCCCATTGCTGGCTCACGTTGAGGTTCTCCTCCCCCAGCACCCCAAGTCCTTCTCCTCTGGGCTGCTCTCCATCCATTCTCCACCTAGCCTGATTTGTGCTGGGGGTTGCCCTGACCCAGGTGCAAAGACTCAGTTGAAAGACCGTGGTTCATTGATTTATACAACTCAGCTGAGCTTGAGTAACAGTCAACACCAACGCTCAGGTTAACAAGCACCTTGAGGTTCACCCCGTTTTGTTTAACACCTTCACAACCTCAGCTCTCCAGGTCAGACTTGCCTCTCAGCCAGCAGTGGGGAGCCAGAAACTCTGTGGCAACCCCTGGATTACAACGGTGGAGTTTTCTCTCAGGAACTGTTGGTGAGCTGTCCTACCAGCTCTCAAGCCATGGTGTACAGAGTGGGTTACTGAGCAGAAGGGGCCTGATGTGTCATTTGTAATCCTTAGAATAATAAAAAGGAGATGCAGTAGAGCAAGCCACGAGAACAAGAAGAAACACCAGTCCTGCAGGCAGCACAGAGAGAGACAGACCTGACTACCCCAGCACAACTCACCCTGATCCTAACTCTCAGAAGCAGCTTCTAACCACTAGCGTGGAAGGGATGGCATTTGCCTCCACAACAGCTCAGAAAAAGATGTATCTCCGATTCTCAACGCTTCTTAAATCATAAAGTACTTAAGAAAAAAAAAAACAAAACAAAAACACCATGAAAGGAGCACACTGATTTTCAACTCCCAGCCTCCTCATGATCTCCACAGTATCCAACCCTAAGGAAGCCAGGACAGATACGAACCCTCGAGGTCTGGCTGCTGCTGCACACCGACTCCTCGGTGGGCTGCCAAGTCCAAGGTCTTAACAAGCTGCATTTCAGCAGCTCACTGCACAACTACCACTCACAATTCACTAGTCCATCCAGCCCAACACTCAAACGAAACACCTGGAAGGTGCTAACCAAGCTGCCACAAGAGCATTCCTATTGCTGAAAGGAAAGATGACATCTGCCTCTGTGACATCTTGCCTGACACAGCATGTATAGCTCCAGGGGACACCTTCAGTGACAGCCACCAATTCTCCTTTCAAGCCAAAGCAGTGCCCGGCAGAGCAGTCTGTTGCGGGAAGGAATCGAAGCCACGCGCAGCCTGTGCCATCAGCACCACCATCTATGGAGAAAAGACTGTCCCCAGCCATCCTCACCATGCCACTGCCCTGTACTTATAAGCACCAAAACACAGTTCCTGCTAGTGCTCTCATTAGCAGCACCTAAGGTTAAAATAGATAAAAACTGAGATTTCAACAATTACTCACTTCCCATGCTAGGAAGAACAGAGAATTAATGGAAACCCCAAAGGAGTTTGCAGGCTGGCTGGGTAGCGCAGTGGAAAAGCAGAGATGAACTAATATTACATGCTCACATAATTAATAACTGGAACCACTGTGGAATAAAGTTGTCATCACTGGAGCACATAAATACCATCTCTGCTCTTCCCTCCACTACTAAAAACCCTTGAGGAATGAAGCATCTCCTTTCCCCTTGGCTACACAAAACACATGGCTGCTGTAACCTCCTCAATAACTAGGGCTTACAAAACAGAAAAATCCCCTTTATTTTGACACAGGGCCACTGGGGACATTCACTGGAAAAGAACTTCAGCAGAGAATTACGGATCTTTTTGGCAGACCTGTGGCATCGTATTCAGGCAACTCACACAGACCCAGGGCTGAGAGAAGATGAGAGTGAACGTTACAGGTAATGTCTGTGTGGTTTTTTCCTCCTCTGCACTTCACTGTGCCTACGAGGGCTCCACACAGCAACCTGACATCACTGACAGACTCCACCTGCTCCTGGTAGTGCATCTGTTCCAGTTTGTGTACAAAGATCAACGGCGCCGTTAGACGGTGCTGTTCCAGGACTACCAGAGACTCACCTAATCCCCTTTGTGGTGCGTGCAGCATCCCCTGGCCCTTGCACACTGCCACTTGTCACTACGCTGATCTGTCACTGAACTGCAGAGCACTCAAAACACACCACACAGGCAAAGACTCGGATGTGCTGCTACTGTTTTCCAGCTAAAAACCTCAGCGCAAGGCACACTGAATCGCCCAAGGTGCCCTGACTGTTTTCCTCTGACTCCATATACACAAATGGCATATTTCTTCCCCGACAAAGCAAAATAGACCTCTGTGTATCCCACTGTCAGTTCTCATGAGCAGTTGCAGCAAATTCTTCCAGTTAATCCAGACAGGTTAAAAAGCAAAGAGCTGACGTGGTGACCGATAACAGAGGCGATCACGAGGTCCAGACAACCTCAGCTGAGGATGTGTGAGTGGCTCCACCTCTTTTTCCTGGTTTGCAAAGGTCTGGCACATGCTAAAAGTCAGCATTTAAAGAAAAACTATAGATCTGGAAAGCAAGATTGCAGGACTGGAATCCAGTATCAATGCAGAGACAGAAATGGGAGTATAAATGTCTCATTCATTGGTTCAAAAACTTACACACACTGTGCACCAACAGCACAAAACAAATTTCAGAGAGACTTTTCTGATCCCCTGACTGAAGCTCCAGCTGAGCTTACAGAGGACATTTGCCATCACCTGGTTTGTCAGCTTTCAACAGTATCGTTATACTTCTAAGAAATACCCCAGATACACCTTAGTGCAGCATTTCATAGCTCCACACAAGCAAGGTGCCTTCAGCATCTGTACTTGTGCACACTCACCTGTTAACCAGCAATTCCAGCACACAGGAACGCCTCGCCTGATTCCCAGCGCTCCCTCTCCAGCACGTACACACACACACGCACACAGACACGTTCGACTCCCCACAAATAACCACGGAAATAACACTGGAAAGACAAACTACCTGCTCTTGCATACACAGTGAATATGGAAACAGTTTCCTGCTCTGACACTCCCTGAATCGAGCCCTAGTTTGAAAGGGTCCCGTAGTGACAGAAAAAGATTTAAAATAATTACTTTGATGAAGAATCCTGACTCCAATGAATCTGCAGGTAATTTTCCTTCATACGGCTGTAACACCAGTCACATCAGTTAATGAGTAACCGACCAATACGAGATAAATGTTAACTCAAACAAGAAAAAATGTCAACAAACAGCAGGGTATCTGGCACTAAGGAAATAAAATCTGTCCCCGCTTGCTGTAAGAGAGACGAGAGCACTCCCACTGCTGCACCACAGCTTGTTTCTGGGATATCCGGTACGCACATTTCAACACTTTTCTTCACTCCCAGATGCATCTTTCGTTTGTATCTTCCTTACTTTTTATTTTCTTTTTTTTGCAAGAAGTGATCCTTCTGAGGAAGAACCATCTTCAAAGAACGAGCCAGTTATTACCAAAGGTGCATTTCAAAGTCCAAATCTCAAACACTATCACGCTGCCTTTGCAAAAGCAATTTAGCCGTTTGGCCATAATGAATCACTTTCTTCCAAACTACAGTTTTATCAATTAAGAAACGCTGGCACGCCTGCCACAGGCTGTGTGTAACACAGGAGGGATGTGCAGGGGGAGGAATCTTCATCAAATATATATATATATATACACACTTTTTTTTTTTTAAACACACACAGATATCTATTTATTTAAATCTACAGCTTTGCAGTTAAGTCTTGAAAACATAAGAAATTTTTCTGCTTAGTTTTTTCTTTTGACATCAGTTATCATCCCCCTTTTCCAACCCACCCCTCAAAACACTCAAATCCCCTTACTCACTAAGGAAACAAACTACTGGACATCGAGTGTAGCATATCTTCAAATAACTGTGCTCTCAAAGACACAACTTGTGACATGACAGAATTAAAAATATAAATCCAAAGTCTAGAACAAAAAGGGAATTTATTGGGATATTAACTTGGGATTGGAGAGCCGCAACAGTAATACACAACTTTTTTTAATAGGACATCTTCAGTTGGGTGATACCAGTATCTAACTCAGAGTTCTGTCCTGAAGATATTGGGTATCTTCAGCGCTTCACTCCAGACAGAACAGCTCTAAAGCCTGCCTGAAACCCACTGAATTTCCCTCTTCAAATGAAGCATTTTTTGATATACTGCAAACAGCAGCCTTATCAAACACAGCAGAAACTGAACAAGCACTCTGCAGTCACTACAGCCTTCCCATAAACAAGGTATAATTGTGTTCCCCAAAAAGAAAACAGATAGTAGATACAGTAACATCAACACTGAGATTTGTAAAGCTGTTATGAAGTTAAGTTTGGAAGAAACAAACAAACAAAATTGCATTGGAAATTGCAAAGACAACTACAGCTGAGAAACTGTTAAATGGGCTTGGCTCATCACTATCAATAAATGCAAGGATTATTCATCTATAATGCTATCATACAGCAAGCGGAAGCCAAGTGACATCAAAAAAGCTTCCTAAGACATTCCAGTTCTTCTCCTACCTAGTTCTGTGATAAAGATGCTACAGGGAACAACAGAATAAACACAGCCAAGAGCTCTCTGAACCCAAAACCAAATTCCAAGAGTGACATTTTAGTGCCATTTTATT